TAACTCATTTTGTACTTGTTGACCTTTGACTGCTTCTTATTCTGTGTTAAATTTAACAAAATTTAACAGAAAAGAGAAAATTTCCTGTACGTATAGTATACGTACAGGCGATATATGTGTAAGAGAGGAAGAGCAGAACGATGTTGACTGTATCTGTGAAAAAGTGAGAATGAATAGTCTTGATACGCGTATTCAGTAAGAAAGGCCTAGCACATAGCACGACGTTAATCAGTTTCCTGTTATAGTAAAGTTGTTACACGAAATCTCTACGCTTTACCCAAGTAAAAATCTTTCTTCTTCAGCACGTATTGTTAAAACTGATTTGCAACGTAACTCTCTTCTTCTTCATCGTATGGGTCCATTTTTTTATCGTGTGATGTGAAACTGGAAAATGTTCTCTATTTGCTTAATAATGCGGAATCTTTGACTGTGCAAACTCGGCAAGTATTCACGTCTGTTGTTGTTGTTATTCCGAAATATCGTTCTGCTCTTTCCTCGTATACCATTCATAATATCAAAATCCGAAAACAACTCTTAAAACAATTCCATCATTACCCAGCTGAAGAGCTTCGTCTGATGTACAGTGGGCATTTTTCTATAGAGCAGGCGGACATCTAGTTTTATCAGTTAAAAAATAATTATTTTCTCGTAATATTGTCTTATTATGTGTCAAATTTTAATAGAAGTAAGAAAAGTTAAATTCGAAAAATATTTTTTCCGATGAAAGATTGACAAAAAACACTGAGATATCGCTTCAGGGTAGCCTGTCTTCTTAAGATTCATCGAACCTTTCACTTCTCATTTAAACATCGCACGCACATGACGAAACGCCTTCAAATCCTTCGTAAACAACAACCTTAAATAACTGAAAACTGCAAGTCATCGTCAGAGAGAGAGAGAGCACAAAATGCTGTTCTCTGTTGACGCTGCAGTTTTGTGTCTTTTATCGCATTTATGGTCGCAACAAGGTCAAAAAAAACGATAAGAAAAAAGAGAACTGTTTTGATGATTCACGGAAATAGCAACTACTTGCGAAAAGTTAATAACAGGACAAGATTCCGGTAGAAATAGAGACATGCAGCTGTTAGAACGTATTCCACGTGCCAACAGAGTGAGAGCTACTTGAAAAGACACACAGGTAACGGAAGCCGTCAAAATAATATATTTTCAGAATAGAATATTTTCACCGGTGAATAAATTCACCGATAATTTTATTGGAAGCAAAATTGAGAACAGTATTATTCAATATGCCTGAGAAAAAGAATATGGAACTATCGTATAACAGAATAACGAATAATGATTCTTTACTATACACAGTGGGCAATTTTGCCTAGGTATGTGGACATTGGTTTTTATAGCGCTGGAAAGATCTCTCAGATATGTTTTTGTAGCTTTCCGAGTGTGCTCTTTCTAATGGAGCCACTCACAAAGTTTAAAATCCATGTTTTAAGGGTTTTCCAGAGATCCGGTCTTTAGAAAACCTTTGCAAAACCAGTTTAGAATTTTTTAAATAAGTCCATAGGATCAGCCGTACTCGGAAACCTATAAAACAATTATTTGTAGGCCTCCAGATCTCTTTTCTAACGATATAAAAACCACCGGCCTCAAGTGCCACGGTGCTGCCTCAGATTTAGCATTCCACGAAAACTTACAATTTTTTCCCAAAAACCTGCTGTAAATTATATATTATTCGATGCAATTTTTCACGCTAATTGCGAATATGTCCTTACTTTTTAGCTAGGATGCTTTTTTACTAAGAAAAACGTGAGAAAACGATAAAAATCCCGGGTTTTTGTCAAGTCTGCAACTTCACCCAGAAATGTTTGGGCAAGTTTGGGCATTCCATCTAGACGTGCCACATATAGAGAAACAATTGCTGAAAGTTTCATTGAAAATAGAGTTTGGATATGGACGACGTGCCCACTTTACTAGGGGCATGTTTCCGAAAGACATCTCGTGCCGATAAAAATCATGTTCTTTCCTTTTCGCAAACCCGTTTGGACAAAAATTTTTTTATGAATCAATAGCCCAAGTGCTGCATTCATCAGGCATTCGTCCAACAGGCAATCATGCGTCCAAATAAGTTGGCTGTTACACTCGATGATCAATCTCTGACATACAGTCAATTGCTGACTCGAGTTCAACAACTGGCACTTCGTCTTATTATGACAAAGGCGTGCAGCCAGGTGACATTGTGTGTCAGTGTGTAGATCCGAGTATTGAAATGATTGTGGGCATTATGGGTATCATGATGTCGGGTGCTGTTTATGCTCCCCTAAGTCCAAGCCTAAGTCGTTATACAGTTAAGAATATAACGATAATGGATGAGTAGTTATTGTTCATCATTTGACACTCTTATTCATTGAATCAATAGCCCTGTTTCAAGAAGATACTGACTATGGATAATAGCAGCCTTTTAACCATTTATATTTTTGTCTTACATACATTATCTCTGACTACCATGGCCCGAAGAGAAAGCCGCAAAGGCATGGTAGTTCAGAAAGATCTTTGAAAACTCATTTGGCTTTATATTGACGTAGACACCTACTTTTTCATACATTCAGCTGTGACTAGGACAGCCTTATAACTCAGAAAGTAAGCGGTACCTGTTTCTAAAAAATAGCATAGTCCGGGAAATTGCCAGAATAAACACTAATTCCATAGTAAAGGGAATCTTTCTTTTGAGTAAAACGATAAAATTTGTTCTTTTCTCCATTTCTTGCTTTATATATCTCTCTATAGTGTGCATAGAAAGAAAAAAAACATCCAGTCAAGTATAGTACTGAAAAGATCTGTTATACGATAGTTCCATATTCTTTTTCTCAGGCATATTGAATAATACTGTTCTCAATTTTGTTTCCAATCAAATTACCGGTGAATAAATTGACCGATGCGACTTTTGACGGCTTCCCTAATAGAGCAACATCACACACTCTTCTGCATATCATATGTCGTTGTCTGTACGTGACTAACGACACAACAAAAGCTCTTATGTGAGTAATACTAACAAAAAAAACAGTACGATGAACGGATACGGTGAAAGTCGGTTCGTTTACGACCATTCGTTCTCGGCACACAGTTGTATTACTTCATATTTCATCGTCTGTCCAACATCGAATCTATTTGGTGCTTCAGAGTTTGTTAACGACGAAATACGGAGATCGTGAACGCCGTGGGTAGGTTGTTGGGTATACAGAGAGATACAAAGTACCACGGCCATTTGCGACCAGGATTTGATCTGAATTGTATTGCTCCTGATACGAAACACAGAAGCTGACCGCATTCGATTAGAGAAATATCAGCACCTGGACGACGAAACAGTCTGCGATCAATTCTCTCTCAAGAACTTGTTACTTTCGGATGCAAACAGACATTTGCGCATCAGAAAATAACAGATGAGCTGAAGGCATTTGTATAGATATTCTGCACAAACAATGCTTATTTTCACTATTCGAGATGATGAATCAATGCCATTCTCCACCATCCATCAGGTCCAGTTGTTCAGAATCGGTCCTCACGGATGCTCTTAGCGATGCATTTTGCTTTGAGACTCTTCGTGACTACGAAATCGATCGAGCTCTACCGCTACCTTGCGATCGGCAGCATGTTTCTGGCGATGGCCGGACTGATTGCGTCTTGTCGACCAAGTTCGACTTCGACTCAGATATATCACGTGCTTTTCTGGACTATGCGACAACAACGAACATGACGCCAGAATACTTGGCGTACACATGCTATTATGTCTTCTTGTTTAAGTTAACCAATGGCCAAGAAGACTTGTGCGTCTGGCGAAACATCAGCCCTTGGCATCGGCCGGAGTTGCGCGATGTCAGCGAAACGTACGCCAACATGTGAGTAAATTTCAGACATTCATTTTGCACTTCAAGTGTGTTTTTTCCTGATTTACATATAGAATTCCGTTTCGTCTACACCTTGATCCATACTCGTCCTTCTCGCAGGTAGCCCTTCAAGTTTGCGAACTATCGGCACTCACCATAGAGCATGAGCACGTTCCATTGTCGCGCATTTTTTACAATGATCAATCACGGCTTACGCCCGTCTCACTCGACACGTCGTTTGAATTTAGCATCATTTCTCTCAAGACTAACGTCAGTGTGGACCAGCAAAACGATATATTATTCGACGAAATGTCTTTGTTCGTGGCGCCACAGTATCCGACTAACATCGGGGATGATTTGATACAGAGCAAGTTTAACCTTTGCACAACCATGCAACATGATCGAAATAGAAACGTATTGACCTGTACACTGAACTGCTCTTGCGACCTGTTCAAGTCGACAACTGTACAAGTTCTGGCTGATCGCTTTCACATTCTCTGCCGACAACTCTTCTGTTCATCGTTCGACCACAAAAACCAACCTATCTATGAACTGTCTATTCTTTTGCCGTTCGAGCGACACATGATACAAAAACTAAACAGTTATGCCACGATGCCCAATTTCACTTGCTGCATTCATCAGGCATTCGTCCAACAGGCAATCATGCGTCCAAATAAGTTGGCTGTTACACTCGATGATCAATCTCTGACATACAGTCAATTGCTGACTCGAGTTCAACAACTGGCACTTCGTCTTATTAATGACAAAGGCGTACAGCCAGGTGACATTGTGTGTCAGTGTGTTGATCGGAGTATTGAAATGATTGTGGGCATTATGGGTATCATGATGTCGGGTGCTGTTTATGCTCCCCTAAGTCCAAGCGATCCTCTCGATCGTCTTGACTCGCTTATTCGTCAAGTCGATGCCAAATTGGTGCTTGTTAATCAAATGTCACGTTCATATTTGAGCCGGCTCAATGTACCCATCGTCGACATCTCCGAAATAGTCGTCTCCAACGATCCTGTTAGTGATGCCCAAATTAAACAATTGTCTGAAGTGGCTGTCAAACCCGACTCCATCTCTCATATAGTATTCACATCGGGATCAACGGGCACTCCAAAAGCCGTTCAAATTCGGCATCGCAATTTCATGGCATACATGCATGCGCATTTCACACAGACGAACGACATCCTTCTCCAGCTCGCAAGCTCTTCTTTTGATGTTCACGTGGATGAAATCAATGGTGCACTAGTCCGAGGTGCTCACTTG